TCCCATCTCTACCTAGCACGAGGCCTTTTGGGAGCTCACTGGCTTCGGGTTCCATGGGAACTCCGAAGTTAAGTGAGAAGGGGGCTTGAGCAATCCCATGATGGGTGACCCACTGAGAAGTTGCTCGTGAGTTCCCAAAAACAAAACCGTGAGGGAATGGTAGGCCCAAAGCGGACAATATCGTGCTACGATGGAGTCGGGCCCGGGAAGTGGTCTCGCCCAGGCCGGGATATGACAATACATGCATGCCTTGAATTATTAATCACTGTGCTTTAAACTGTCTCTACATCTTAATGCTTCGCTACCATTATGATGTTTAGATAAGTAATTGGATGCAATTCGGTCGGAATGCCACCGGGGAATTGAGTATTGCTTCTAGTGATTGATAGTTGTAATTTCACCTAGGGCGAATGTCACGTCTTAGGGGTTGCATGATTTTTCAAAGGGTTTTCACAAAGCGTAATGAGTTATGCATGTTTATATTTGATATGAATGTCACAGATGGATTGCATGTTTGATATACGTTATAGCTTGAATGCCACAAGTAGAATATGCATAAGGAAAACCTAACCTTCAAAGTTGCATGGGTAATTCATAAGTAATTGGTAAATCTACATAGGATTATTAAGGGGACAGCGGAACCCTAGGTTTTTACAATTTGGTTTTCAAAACTATTTTCTTTTGTTTTCTTTACTTTGTCAAGTTATTTATTTGTTTTAATTTAAAATTCGTTTTTATTATTTTTAAATTCAAAATCAACTTTTTCCAATCCTTGTTTTTAAATAATTAACTAAGAATTTGGTTTTGCATAAATTATTCATTCAATCTCTACGGAAAACAACCTTACTTGAGTCGTTTATACTACAACTACCTTGTTCTCTTGCAAGTATGTTTAAGTGTTTTTATCTTTACTTTTGCAAGTGATAAAATCCCTATCATGGTGCGTGGGTGAAAATGGCTGTTTGGGAGTGTATTGTCGATCTAAGAAGTAGGTGTGGTTGGGATATAGTTGGCCAGAGAAGATGAAGGTGACAAGGTGGGTACTTCGACAAGATGGATGTGTATGGGATACGGAGGAGGGAAGGGAGGAGGTCGAACTCTTCCTCTGGGAGGAAGACAACAAACCCATACTTTTTAATATCTTTAATTTTTTTTATTTTTTAAAATATCCACGTGGGCTCATATTGACACGTAGCCTAATCATTGTCCACGTGTGTGACACGTCACCAGTTAACGGTTGGCTTAACAACAATCCTAACGGATGTATGAAATAGTCCCAAAAGTTTGAAGTGAGATTAACCCAATTTAAAATAATTTCTGACCGCATGATATACTATGAACGGACACAATACACATATTCCCTAGATCCTCACAAAGCGGATCCTTTTTCATAAATACAACCTAGCATTTTATTTTTTACTGTGTATTTAATTTATTAACCTCCCAGAAAGTCCATAACAGTTTATAGAATGTATGTGATCTACGTTATATATTATGTACATGATGGTTTAATTCTTTAATTATTTACTTGCTTGGAAATTATATTATTATAATTTCTAATATTGAATGAAAAGTTGTTATTATTAGATGTCAGTTAGTGAAAACGACTTGGTTGTTTTGAATAAGTGCTAGATGTCATATGGTTTAAGGCCAATAGACACATAAGTTATGAGAAGGTGCATTGAGTTTTATATAAACTCAAGCACTCCAGTTGTAGAAAATTAATTAAAAAGAGAATTAGTAAGTCACCTTACTCTTGAGAAATATGACTTAGCCACTCTATTTATCTCATTCTTCGTTTGTCAAATTTTGGGTCATGTCTTGAGAGTACGGAATATATTAAGTTCGCCGGAGTTCCAAGATTGAAGTGCTTCGACTTTGGATTATAGATTATTGAATCCTGAGAGCTAGACGCCTGTTAAACTACAAGTACAAAAGTAGAGGCTAAACTACAAGCATAGAGTCCCAAGATTGATTATATGCTGTTGAGTAAAAATGATATTTTACACTAAGAAAAATAGGAAATGTTTGGACAATGATTTAAAAAGAAAGACCCTTAGACCAACCTTGGGTTAAACTAACCCAAACCATCTCCAACCATGTGACCTAAAATAAGTTTTGGGTTAAAACCTAAAAGTTGAGCAAATTTAACCCAAACCATCTCCAATATGATTAAATCTAAAGGAAAGCTAATGAAAATGGTTTGAAAACTTTGAGTTTTAATGATAAGGATAAAATAAAGGGTAAAGTGAATAGTATCAGGATTGACTTTTTAGTGTAAAAATGTGGTTTTTCATTAAAGTGTACAATACTGTGATTGACAATGAGAGATTTCCCAGTTCAGAGGTCATATGATTATTTGCACCAGAATCAGTAAGCCAAACTTGTGGCTGAGATGGAGCTGATGGCACTGAGAATGAAGAGTAAGTACCATTGGTTGTTGCAGCATGCATGGCACTCATTGGAGACGATACATTCTTCTGAAAGCATGTTTCTGCACTATGATATGGATTCCCACATACATGACAGCCTGATGCACCACTTGTATTTCGATATCTACAAGTGTCAGCAAGATGATTATGCTTGCCACAGATTTGACAACCTTGGGAAACATTGGTATTTCTGAATCGACATGTAGATGCCACATGATTATTTTTCCCACAAATTTGAGCCTGAAAACCATAGTTTTATGTTCTTGGTGGTGATGTACCAAGAATGCCAGGTGCCGGAGTTGAATGAAAATTCTTGCCATTACCATATTTCGGATTGAAGTTATTTCCAAACCGATTTCTGCCTTTACCATTTTGATTAAAGGACTTATATGCATTGGAATTAGAACTAGCATAATTTCCACCAGAACCGGAAAAAGATTGATTATTGGATGGCAGGGCATTGGTTTGTGCCATTAGTGCAGATAACACCGGTGATGGAGGAATAGTTTTGACTAGAGTTTCTTCAGCAAGTAGTTGAGACCGAAGATTTTTCAATGATATCACAATTTCATGGCCTCTAATCACAGATCTTATTGTGTTGAACTCAACATGCAGACCATTTAGTGTAAGAATGACTATATCATCATCATCATCAAAAAATACACCAGCAGCAGACAACAAATCCTGTGCTTCTTTAATCTTCTGCAAATACACAGTGATAGAATCACTACCTTTCTCTATGGTTTGCAGCTCAGATTTAAGTTGAAATATACTCGATCTTGTGACTGTAGAGAATTGTTCTCGTAGATGATTCCACAGTTCTTTAGAACTAGTACTCCCAATGGCACAGGAAATCGCAGCCGGAGACAATGTGGCAGTGATCAACTGCATTAATGCTTTATCATGCATTTTCCACACCTTGTAGTCATCAGATTGAACCCTTGTAGCAGAATCACCAGAAGATTCTTGACAAAACTGAGCAGGACAAGGCATCAAACCATCAACAAAACCAATTATGCTATGCCCTTCAATAAGCAACTCCATCTGGAAATGCCAAGCCAAGTAATTCGATTCATCCAATTTCACATTTACTGAGCTTGAGACGGATGAAATCAAAGACGCAATCAGAGATTGTAGAATTTGTAACTGAGCAGCGGTCACCATTGTTACTAATTACGTAGAAATCCTGACAGAGAACTAACAACAAACACTTGGTAGACACACTTTGAGAAGACGAAACCAGACGAAGAAATACCCCAATTGACCAAAAAAGATCACAAATCCACAGAGAAAAGATCACACAGAGAAGAATGTAGAAGCGGAAGCAAGTGAAACCAAGATCGAAAGACCACCAAGCTACTATGCTTGTTTAGGCGAATGATACCATGTAAACCATTGAAGAGTATTGATGAAGATAGTTATGCAGAAAGAAGAGAGAAGAAGAAGAAGAAGAAGAAGAAGAAGAAGATCGAGAGTTTAGAGAGAGAAGAGAATATTAGAAAATGTATTATTTTTCTTGTTAGTTACAAATGATGGTTACAAGGTTTATATAGTTTGTATTGATAGCTTACACTCTAAGCTACACAATAACAAACTTTAACTAACTTCTTTAATCTCTTGACACATGTCTAATTCACAGCCATAAGATCTTAATACTCTTAACATCCCCCCTCAAGCTCAGGAGTAGAGAAATTGAGCCTGAGATCGGCACAATGAGGAAAAGAGGTGCAGAAAGCCCTTTGGTAAGTATATCAGCAAACTGCTTAGTGGAAGACACAAAGTGCACCTGTAGTTGCTGTGTTGCGACCCTTTCTCGAACAAAATGAACATCAACCTCAATGTGTTTGGTGCGTTGGTGTTGGATAGGATTACAGGTCAAGGCTATCGCAGACAGATTATCACAAAAGAAGAGGGGTTTCTCAAGAATCGGAATTTGTAGAAAATGCAACAAAGACTTGATCCAATCCAGTTCAGCAGTTGTAGTAGATGAGGCTTTTCGTTGAAACTCTCTAAATCTAATGATAAAAAAAATTAACAACCCCAAATTAAATTCAAAGACTAAAACAATTAAAACAATTATTTAAATCAAAATTCACTTTAAACTTTTTTATGTTAAAATGTTGATAAAAATAAATTATGATAGTCTACATAAATTTCATTTCTACAAAATTTACTTTAAAAGAAATTTAGCCTAAATTCATTGTTAAATAATGTCAGACTAAAATATATACAACGATTAAAGAAGAAAAATTGTGTTGTGTTAAACATAAATTTTCACCAGATACACTCTCCATTTTGAATAATCCCAGATACACTCTCCATTTTGCCATCCTTATTTTCACCAAACCAATGCCAAATCTTAGTATATAAAACGGTCAACGAACCCCTTCCCGTCATTTCCCTCCCCAAAACCCCTCCCACACCACACACCCGGTAAAGCAGTACCGCTCCAAAATTTCAAAAAAAACCAACCTGATTTTTATTTTATTTTCCTCTAGGAAACCCCACGTTGATCTGTGAAAAGACCAAAAAGTCCAAATTCCCCAGGGCCTCAACAATATGCCCCTTTCTTCATGCAAAAACCCATCTCACTCTCTCCCACCATCTCTCTCTCTCTGGTCATCAGAGTCTCGGAAGAGAGTGAAGGCGACAGCGGAAGAGGAAATCGGCGCCGTTTGCGAGGGTAAGCTCCCTCTGCCGGCCAATTTTTGTGTCATTTGTGAAATTTTTTTACAAATTGTTTTTTTGGTTTCAAAAGCTTTGGAGTAGAGCTCTCACTCCGTTGAAAAACCCTTTTGGGTTTTTGGTTTTAGGTTTCAGGGCTTAAACTAGGATTTTGGAGACGAACCCCCAGGTTCAGAGTACGGAGGAATCGAAAATTGTGGTAATTTTTGCTCTAAATTGTTTGCATTTTGCTATTTGGTGTTTGGTTGCTGAGAAAATGAGGGACTTTTTAAATGGGCCTTTTATTTATTTTTTGCTTGGAAAATTTAACGGGGGAAAATGTTGCACATTGTTTAATTTTCTCTCAGTTTCTCAGTGACCAAAAGGACCTCTCTCTCTCTCTGTGTCATTTCTCTTTCTCTGTATCTGACTGTGACGCTAAATACATTTGCTCTGCGTTTTGTTTTCTAGGTTCCAGTTAGGGTTTTTTTTTTTCCGGCCTGCAACGTAGCTCCAAGTACGATCAGACCCGAAGACTCTGGTAATTTTGTTCTTTCCTTTTGCTGCATGTTTATTTTGTGTTTGGTAGCTGAGAATTGGATGAAAATTTATACCTTGTTTAGGTTTTTTTGCTGAGTTCTGCTGGCTTTTTTAATTCTTTCCGTTTTCTTAGAAACCATACTACATTGGGTCAGATTTCTTGTATATCGTTTGCCTTCAGATTTCTTGTATATTGTTTTCCTTTAACTTATTTGATTATTAATTTTAATTGTTTTAGAGGTTACTACCTCCCACAAACTAATTTTTTTCTTAATTTTCTAGCTTAATAATTCTGTCTGTGGTATATTTGCATGTTGATTTTGCTGTAATAGCTTCAGTTGTCCTACTTTATATATGTTTCCTTCTCTCTTCCATGGCAGTTTCTTAAGGTTTCTTAAAGGAAATGGAGGAGGTCTCGACCTCAAATATTTTGGATGGGGAGATCGTTGGAATCAAATTTGGTTTAGCAACTCACCAAGAAATTGTAAGTAGAAATTTGACATTTAATTTGAGTAGTTATTGAGTCTATGCCATCTAAAGCTGGGAGGCCTCAACTACATTAGTTTGTTCCAAAAAAATAAAATTGCATCCATGGGATAGGATTTCGAGGGAGAATTCTGATTCGTTTCTTGGAGGGAGTGGTCTTTAGAGTCCATATTGAATATTCACATTCTAAGCTCATAGAAGGCTCCATTTATGGCCAAATGAAAATTATGGCTTTCCATTGGTCAAATGTAATATGGCTTCAGCAACATGTTCCCCATGTTGTTCTTATTAAAAAAAAAAAGTAAAAGATGCCTTCACAACTACCTCGTGACTAGTGTCTATGGGAGAGTAAATTAGAAAATCACCTCCAGCAAAGTGTTTTTTACAATTCGTTTCTTTACTACAATAATCAACCATTGGAATAATTTGTTTATACTTTTATGTTTACATTTTTGGCAGTGTACAGCATCTATTAGCGATTGCTCTATCAGCCATGCAAGTCAGCTTTCCAACCCATTCCTTGGCCTGCCCCTTGAGTTTGGAAAGTGTGAATCTTGTGGCACTTCTGAACCTGGGAAATGTGAAGGTAAATAAATTTCATTTCTCAACCTTTGGTACAGTGAGTTGTAATATACAATGTTGCGAAACAAGTCAGATGTAAGAAACATATTATACATTGAAATTTGAAAGAGTATGATTGGAAACGTAAGAAAGTGTATCCTTTATCCCTTTTCAGGTCATTTTGGGTATATTGAGTTACCAGTACCAATATTTCATCCCAATCATGTTAGTGAATTGAAGCGGATGCTGAGCTTATTGTGCTTGAAATGCTTGAAAATGAAAAAGAACAAGGTACCACCTGATTGAGTTTTTCATTGTTTATAATTGCTGCTATGATCATCACTTACTAAGCAGAGGCAATATATCCCCTTGGTTAGCTTGTTATTTGGACTTTTGTTGTCTGTTAAGGGAAGATATGCAGATTTGTGTTTGTTATAGTTTTCAGCTGAGGAACAAAGAATAAAATGATTTACAATTTTACATGAAGAAACAGTTGAATTTTGAACCTATTTACTGTGTCATCCAATCCAACCATTACTAAACTGCCTTTTTGTTTTTTAATTTTTCATTTTGTACAAGTGCCCTTTATTGCACTGTATTTGTCATCTGTGGATTGATCTTGTTTCTTTTCTTTTAAATCTTATAAGTTTGCTTTATTTTCCTAATTTTCTCAAAGAGAGTCTGAAGTTTGAACTTAATTCTACAGAATCCACGATTGTATTATGTGAATAGTTCTTTGTCGACCACAATCTCATAATATTTTTGTTTTTGTTAACATGTCGTTGGTGGAAAAATTGTCTGTGACTGGGTTGCCCTTCAATTTCTATATTCTGTAAAGTGGTTGATAACACTTCGTATTCGAGTAGCAAATTTTTATTTTAAGAAACTATATAGTTAACTGGCTATGTTTTCTTATCATAAAAATCTCTCTGCTTATAGCCTTATATTCTGTATCCATTTTTTTACCATTCAGTTTCCAACCAAGAATGCTGGCTTAGCAGAAAGAATGTTAGCTTCATGTTGTGAGGTACGTATAAATTAATCGTTTGCGTTTTTCATGATGTGAAGTATTCTCACTGTATCTAGTAATTTTGTGGATTTATCGCTCTCTGATTTCCTTATGGGCGCACAAGCACTTTCACACCCTCTCACCCAACCACTAATTCTAATTCAATCAAATACATTGTTTTTGAACCTTAGTTGCGCAACTATCACTACAGGGTTCTAGTTTCTAGTTAGGAATGTTTCACTATGCTATGTTTCAGTTGCCAGTACATCTTTGGTTTATTGAAGTTCTGTTTTAGTAATTCAAGTTTCCTAAAAGTTTTATTTGGAATGGCACTACATTCCATGAGCTTGCAAAAAAGATCAATACTTGAAATCTTGATGGTGTCAGTATTCCTGGTTTAGTTTGTTTTCCCTAAATTCTTGTAAAAAAAGGTCAATTGTGTATTAGGTTATGTGTTCCAGAACATTATGTGTGTTATTATCTCATATGTTTTCCTTTCTTGGGATGTTCCTGCCCTTATTAGGTGTTCAGAGGTTTGATTCTTTCATTTGGTGTACTACGTTTAGAGATTGAAATTATAGTTAGATAAAGTTGTTTGTCGACCGTCAAGAAATGCTATACTTGTTTTTTTTTTTTATTGTTTATTTATTTTTTTGAAGTTCATTACATTTAATTTTCCTCAAGCAAAATGTCTGTTTTTTACGGTAGTGCATGCATGGAGATTTCAGCCTTATTGATTTGAGTTGGCTTGTTGTGGGTGAACATTTCTGCTTTGCTTCGGAATTGGAGACCTAGTTGCCGTCTTCTCCTATTTGGTGTATCATGTGTAAAAGGAAAGGAGATGATGGAGATCATTTGTTGTCCACTGTCTAGGAGCTTTAAATTTGTGATTCTTATTATTTGGACAGGCTGGAATGAGTTGGGTAATTTCAGAAGGGTTCCAGTCATTGATTAGTAAAAGTCTGGATGCTTTTGGTAGAGTTAAGAAGGCTACACTGCTGAGGGGTTGCTGCAGGATGGCTGTTTTGTGGGGTTTATGGGTGGAGAGGAACGTGAGGATTTTTGACATTTTAAGGGGGGTGGGGTAGAAGAGCTTTCACAATGGGTGAGGTTTTTGTTGTCTCTTTGCACTGGTGTCATCAGAGCTCTGGAGGATTAACATGTTCTTCTCTTTTGCTCAATTGGAAAGCTGCTATGAGATAACTTGGTTGTTTTACTTTTTGGTTTCAATTCTCTAATGAGTTGCTTGTATTTTAAGATGGTATTTCTCTCTATAAAGTTTAAACTGAGCACTTCATCTTCTGTCAGCTTATTATTGACATAATTTTGCACCATCCTCACCATGGATGAATGTTGGAGATAATGCAGTATCATTAGTTTTGTTATAGCAACTGTTTAGTTTGTGGGTCTTCCTGAGACTAAGTTAGAAATATTTTAATATAAGTTGCCTTTTTGCTAAAACAGGGTCTCTCTTGATGTTCTGATAACTTTTTATTTTTATTTTTTTTATATAAATTGGAATACTTTGTGATATGTTCTCTCTTCATCTCTCTTCATTTTCCATCTATAGTTTTATGCCCTCACATTCCTTCTGTAGGATGCTGCACAAGTGTGTATTGGAGAGACTAAACCGACAGATAGCTCTTGTTCCTTGCAATTGAAGCGACCTTCTAAATCAAGAACACCACCTGGTTTTTGGAATTTCCTCGAACGATATGGTTTTCGTTATGGCGATGATCATATACGTACTTTGCTTCCTTGTGAGGTATGCTTCTTGCTTCCTGATTGAATCCCTATCATCTCACATTCTTGGAACTTGAATTGAATTTTATTGTCCAGTTATGTGGATTGAAGTCTTTGTTTGCTCATAGTTCACTTTTATTTCTACGCTGTTTTTGTTAGTGGAAAAGTTTGATGTTTTCCATTAAGAACTTATTTCTAATTTATTAATTTGACTCAAATACAAAGAAATTCTCACTTATCACAGAAATCGACAAAGTGAGCACCTTATTTTGGATTCCTCTGTCTTACTTTATTGTATGCATTGATCAGGGGTTGCTATTGCTTCTGCCATCTTCCTTTGGTGTCAACCTTCATGATTGATTTTAGCTCCACTAAATGTTTTGATGGCTAAATTAGTTGAAGTCCTTGTTTGCACACCAATTCATTTGTGGGAAAAGTTTTCTGGTTTACTGTGATCACTACGTCTTAAATCTAGTATGAGGCTCTTACGCACATGCAATCATCCCCGTTATCACAGTAATCTGGCGAAGTTAGCATCTTACTGTTGGATTCTTCATTGAATGGATTGATCAGAGGGTGTTGTTGTCTTCCCTGTGGTTTCAACTGGCACAGTTTATTTAGTTCACAAAATAAATTGATGGTTAACTTAGTTGGCGAGATGTACAGCTCCATGTGGTTTCAACTGGCACAGTTTATTTCATTCACTAACTACTTTGATGGTTAACTTAGTTCACCAGATGTGTATAAGTAGATTCTAACCAAATGATTTTATTGCCAATCACTCATAATGAAAATCATACTGATCTTATATAATTCTGTTGGCCTTTCCTGTTTCTGCTGATTGTAATTGTTGTTCTCCTGATACATATTATTTTGGTAATGACTACCAGGTGATGGAGATGCTAAAGCGTATCCCTCAAGACGCCAGGAAGAAACTTAATGCAAGAGGGTATTTTCCTCAAGATGGATACATCTTGCGTCATATACCTGTCCCTCCAAACTGTTTATCTGTGCCTGAAATTTCGGATGGTGTTAGTGTTATGTCTGCGGATCCTTCAATTTCAATGCTCAGAAAAGTTCTAAAGCAAATTGAAGTCATAAGAAGTTCAAGGTCAGGCATCCCAAACTTTGAATCACAAATTGTTGAAGCTAATGAACTTCAAGCCATAGTGGATCAGTATCTTCAAGTTAGGGGTACTGGGAAGGCATCACGGGATATAGATGCAAGATTTGGGGTAAACAAGGAGCTGAATGCCTCTTCCACTAAAGCATGGCTTGAAAAAATGAGAACACTGTTCATTAGAAAGGGTTCAGGATTCTCTTCTCGCTCAGTAATCACTGGGGATGCCTTTAGAAGGGTAAATGAAGTTGGCATCCCCTATGAAATTGCTCAAAGAATCACCTTCGAGGAGAGAGTTAATGATCATAACATTAGGTACTTACAACAGCTGGTAGATAGCAAGTTGTGCCTAACCTATAGGGATGGATCATCAACTTACTCACTTAGGGAAGGTTCAAAGGGGCACACTTTTTTGAGGCCTGGTCAAGTGGTGCATCGGAGGATTATGGATGGGGACCTTGTATTTGTAAACAGGCCCCCAACTACCCATAAACATTCCCTACAGGCACTACAAGTGTATGTGCATGATGACCATGTGGTGAAAATAAATCCTTTGATATGTGGGCCACTAAGTGCTGACTTTGATGGTGATTGCATCCATTTGTTCTATCCGCAATCGCTTGCTGCAAAAGCAGAAGTTTTGGAGCTTTTTTCAGTGGAGAAGCAGCTGCTTAGCTCTCATAGTGGAAAACCAAATCTGCAAATGGCCACTGATTCACTATTGTCATTGAGGATGATGTTTAAGAACTATTTTTTGGATAAATCAGCAGCTCAGCAACTGGCCATGTTTGCTTCATCTTTGTTGCCACGACCTGCATTATTGAAAGCAAACTCTGCTTGCTCATATTGGACTGCTTTGCAGATATTACAGACCGCATTGCCTCCTGACTTTGACTACTGTGGGGAAAAGTACTTGGTCAATAAAAGTGAGATACTGAAAATTGAGTTCAGTACAAGTGCAGTTTCAGCGGTGATGAATGACATTGCTACTTCAGTTTTCTTTGAGAAAGGGGGCGAAGATGTCCTTAAATTCTTTGATTCATCTACAGCCCTTGCTGATGGAGAATATATTTTCAGAAGGGTTCAGTGTTGGCTTGGAGGATTTTTACATGTCAAAGACATCCATACAAGATATTAAGGAGAATATTCAGGGTACTTCAGATTTGTTGTATCATCTGAGGTCAACATACAATGAATTTGTAGAGTTTCAGCTGGAGAGTCGAATCAAAAGCTTGAAAGTACCAGTTTCAAATTTTATCTTGGAGTCATCTGCATTCGGTGATTTAATCGACACCAAGAGTGATTCGGCAATCAACAAAGTTGTACAACAAATTGGGTTCCTAGGCCTACAACTCTCTGATAAGGGAAGATTCTACTCAAAGACATTGGTTGAGGATGTGGCCTCTCTCTGTCACAACAAATATTCTTTTAACACGGAGTATCCCTCTGCAGAATATGGCCTAGTTCAAAGTTGTTTCTTCCATGGGTTAGATCCATACGAGGAAATAGTTCACTCCATTGCTACACGAGAGGTGATTGTTCGGTCCTCAAGAGGATTGACTGAACCTGGGACCTTATTTAAAAATTTAATGGCCATTCTTCGTGATGTGGTTATTTGCTATGATGGCACGGTCAGAAATGTTTGTAGCAATTCAGTTATCCAATTTGAGTATGGAGTCAATGCTGGATCTAGGCCCCCGAATCTTTTCCCTGCTGGTGAACCTGTTGGCGTGTTAGCTGCCACTGCAATGTCAAATCCTGCGTACAAGGCAGTTCTTGATTCTACCCCAAGCAGCAACTCTTCATGGGAGCTGATGAAGGTAGTTGGCTTGACTATTGATTATGATGCTGTTTTTCCTTTCAATACATGTTTTTGATCTTTTATGTTTTCTTTCACATAAGTTTTTTGAGTTGATGAAGATACATGCATAAATGTTGATCGTAATTTGAATTTACATTGTCTGCTCTTCAGGAAATTCTACTATGCAAAGTAAATTTTAAGAATGAGCTCATTGATCGCCGTGTAATTTTGTACTTGAATAACTGTGGTTGTGGAAGAAAGTACTGCCGAGAACGTGCAGCATGTTTGGTTAAGAATCAGTTGAAGAAAGTCAGTCTTAAAGATACTGCAGTCGAATTCATGATCGAGTATGCTCTGCCTCTTCATACTTTTTTTTGGCAACACTTTCACAAATAGTTTTATTTAAGTATGTTTCTAGGAATTTATTTCCCAATCCCTTAGTTTATGTTGATTAAGCTGTCAGTTGTCATATTCCTTGCTTTATCTTCTTCAACCTTTCTTTAAAGGTAACCCCACCCACAGTTGAACTGGAAATGAGTACCTGTTGCTACCTCTTCCGTGCTTTAAGTTATTTTCTACGCTGACATGCTTTTTCCGTCTCCCACCACACTGTGGCACTACTACCTGCAATTTTAATATTTATTTTCAGCTCTCTTGGTATCTACTTGAATCTGTTGATATCTGTTAGGTTTTTCCAGCCCATGATAAGTTGTCCTAAGTCTATAAGTAATTGTAGTCTTAGAGGATCAAATTGTTTTCCCAATTGGAGTTGTTAACCCAATTGGAGTTAGTTTCTCAATTGGAGTAGGTTTTATAACTAGATTCCAATTAGGATTAATAATCCTTATTGAAGACGACCTTTATTATGTCTATATAAAGGGGCTATTGTACTAGTTTTGAATTGGAGGGAGCAAAACAATAAATTGTATACCACTCAAGGGATAAGAGTGAGAGAATATTGTAAAGTGTGTGCGAGAGAAAAGAAAAGAGATAGTATATTTCTTGTTCTTGTTCTTTCAGGTTTTTTGTCAAGTCCTAGTTCTAGAGATTTGAAAGATTATTGGTTGTACTCATTATTGATATAGTGAAAGATTGTTGTTGCTGTCCTGTGGACGTAGGCACATATTGTCAAACCACGTAAATTCTTGGTGTTATTTATCTTGGTTATTTGTTTTTCGATTTCCAGAGTTTGTTCTTGTTTTTCCCATTCTTAAACGCAATATTCTCAACAAGTGGTATTAGAGCCAGGTTTGGCTGATATCCGTTTAGAATGGAGGGTGCAGCCCGCTTTAATTGGGTTACATGGAAATCAAGAGAGGACATGCTTAACTGAAGGTGTTAAGAGCAAGCCACCAAGTATGTTTGATGCTGATTGGACCAAGATGAAGATAAGCGATGTTTTCCGGCAAAGAAGTCTATAATTGCCTTTGTCAATGACGATGGTAGTTCTGTTCAGGGGGAGCCTAGTCAAGAGAAGTTTGGTCAAGAGATGTTCGATCACATGGAGTCTGGTCATGGGTATTGCGATCAGAGGGAGCTTGGTCAAGAGAAGTCTAATCAAGAGGGTCTTGGTTAATGAGTAGTTGAGTAGTTCAGTCAGGGGGAGCGTTGTTATAAGAAGTTTGATCAATGGGAGTTTGGTCAAGAGGTAGCAATCCTATTATGGTATACCTTCCTCATGGTCTGGAGGGGGAGATTGTTAGGTTTTTCCAGCCCATGATAAGTTGTCCTAAGTCTATAAGGAATTATAGTCTTAGAGGATTAAATAGTTTTCCCAATTGGAGTTGTTTACCCAATCGGCGTTAGTTTCTCAATTGGAATAGGTTTTATAACTAGATTCCAATTAGGATTAATAATCCTTATTGAAGAAGACCTTTATTATGTCTATATAAAGGGGCTATTGTACTAGTTTGGTGGGAGCAAAACAATAAATTGTATACCACTCAAGGGATAAGAGTGAGAGAATATTGTTAAGTGTGTGCAAGAGAAACGAAAAGAGATATATTTCTTGTTCTTGTTCTTTCAGGTTTTTCATCAAGTCCTAGTTCTAGTAGAGATTTGGCAAGATTATTGGTTGTACTCATTATTGATATAGTGAAAGATTGTTGTTGCTGTCCTGTGGACATAGGCACATATTGCCAAACCACGTAAATTCTTGGTGTTATTTATCTTGGTTACTTGTTTTTTGATTCTGGAGTTTGTTCTTGTTTTTCCCATTCTGAAACACGATATTCTCAACAATATCAAGTTCTGCAGATCAAATACGTGGTTCTGTTTTCTAGAAACTCTTGCATGTTTCTCAGGAGATTATGCTATCAAATACGTGGTTCTGTTTTCTAGAAACTCTTGCATGTTTCTCAGGAGATTATGCTTTAAGAATTCTGGAAGAATTATTTTTTATGCGAATAAGTGGATGTAATTCATTTTATGTCTATAAATGTGTGATTTGCTAACTAGGAAAGGTTTTGCCTTTGCTGAAATATATATTTAATGGTCTGCAGCTTCTTTTTGCATAGCTTGGGTTAACCATGCAAAGTTCCAGTTTAATAATAGTTAGATACTAAAGAGCTGATCAATATAGTAATAGTTGTGTACCCAATAATAGCAGAGTGTAATCTTCACTTCCACTTTTGTGAGAATATGTTTCTCTGTTACTAACAACATATTATTTGGTCATCATGTCATTGACAAGAAATTGAGTTTTGCATCTGCTACACTTTGTACTTATTTGCAGTGGTATAAAATTAATGTGTGGGCTTGAAAAAGTTTGTGTTTTACGTGCAGATATAGCAATCAGCTTTCTAGTTTGGGAAGTATGGTAAATGATGCAGGCCTAGTTGGCCATATTCATCTCAACGAGGTTTGCATAGTTCAATGTGTTGGAATGTTTTCTTTATATTTTCATTTATGAAGTTGCTATTACTTCCTAGTTTGGGATAACGAGAGCTTTATTGAACAGGAGCTGTTACGGGAGTTAAATGTTGGTGTAGATGAGATTCGACAAAAATGCCAAGAAACTGTTAATTCATTTCGGAGGAAGAGAGTTGGGAAGAAGAAGTTCAACATTGGCTATCTTTTCAAAAATACAGTTTTGTTTGCCAGGTCTTTTTTCTTCCCCTCTCTGGTTGGAGCATACTTATGTTTACCAATTGCCTTATTGACTTGATCAATTATGTTTTCCTGTTTGCGTGATGAACTTTTGATACATGAGAGGAAAATGAGGCGAGGACACAGCCTCAATTGATTTTGGTCAATATGATATTAATAAATTTTAATGATGAAGGTTATGGAACATTATGAGCTATGTTGTTATTCATTGCTTATTTTATAGTGGTTTTTTGTTTGAATTTATTTGGCCCTTTTAGTTATGCTTCACTAAGATAAAGGAAGGAAAAAGTTCTGAAAGGAAAGGGGAGGTGAAAACATAATAGCTTGATAAGAGAAACGCCACCAGTACGAAGTCCACCATAGTAACATGGGCAAATCATTCTTGTTATTACCATAAAACGTAAATATGTACAAAAATATATATATATATATATGTATATATATTATATTTATATATATATATATATTGTATTTGTTTGTGTTCTGGAACCCTGCCTGCTTGCTGGATTTAAGAGCGCTAGAGATACTGAAATTTTCATGTCAAAAGAAGACTCGTATTTCAAAAATCATTTGCATGTGGGAGTTACCTACTGTCATAATCATATACAATGTTCGTACTTGTATGACTTCCCCTTCCCCTGTTGTGGAGTTTACTTGTGTCTCCGCTTTAAAATACTTAATGATAAATGCTTCATTGTTTGCAGTGAGCATTGCTCTTTTCATCATTCCTGTGCAGACAAAGGATCTGACTCCCCGTGCTTGATGTTCTTCCTTCAAGCTACTGAAGAGTTGGAGACCACTTCTCAATACTATGCTGACTTGATTTGCCCTGTGCTTTTAGAAACAATAATAAAAGGTAGCTTTTGGAGTGATTTTCTAAAGAGTGAAATACTAATTTATTATTTGAGTTTCCTTGTTTTCCAATGAATCTTGGTCTTTTGATTTGTTTTGCCAACTCACATCTAAAACAGAAATGTCAGTGATTATATGCAATTTGTGTGTTTTGTTTCTGTCTGTCTTATTGAAGTCCTACTTCTATTTGTTTTTTTAATAGAAAAATCCTACTTCTGTTCTGTCTCATGAACCTCATATTTACTTTTTTTTTCATCCCATCCCAAGGTACACGTTTTTGTTGTGTTAGTTGCGTATGGGATGGCCATTACTTGTGATCATATCCAACTTAAGAGGCCAAATATGTGCCTATCAACAATTTAGTGTTAAACTCTGCGAGATTGAAGTCGAAATATTCATCATTTATTTCTAGGTTGAGTTGTGCATTTTCATCCTCTTTTATAGTAATTAATTTATTAGTTGGAAACATTGTACCTTGAGGAGGCAAGTAAAGCTTTAGTGGAACTGTGTGGGTATGGGTATGGGTTGATGACTTTTTCTTTTTCTTTTTTTTTGTTTTTTTCGGGATTTGGTTGGATTATATTGCTAGAAATTTGGAGGAAAAGTTTGGAGAGGTGCAGTGGCCTTGACGGATAGAGTGAAGCTTTGGATGTTTGAGCTTTAAGCATTAGTAATGCCTGAGTTGAGAGATAGTCCTTTCATGATTCTTGATCAGATTGGGTGCAGTTAGCTGATCTTTGGAGTTTTGATGCTGGTGATAGAAGCAGTTTTTTATTTGACTTATTGTAGTTTTTATTAGATGGTGGACATGTTGTTTACTGCTGGAAACTATTTTGTAACTCTTCTCTTAGTAAAGTCATAATGTCTCTAAAATGGACAGGTGACCCACGGATTACCTCAGCAAATATAATTTGGATTGATCCCGATACAACAACTTGGATTAGAAGTCCAAATAATTCTCAAAAGGGTGAATGGGCCTTGGATGTTGTTCTGGAGAAATCTGTTGTCAAGCAAAGCGGTGATGCATGGAGAATCGTTCTCGATTCTTGCCTCCCTGTGCTTCACCTAATTGACACCAGGCGTTCCATCCCGTATGCTATCAAACAGATTCAAGAACTATTGGGAGTGTCTTGTGCTTTTGATCAAGCAGTTCAGGTAAAATCAGTTCACAATTTTCCTTCTTTCTACCGCGAATCTTGAACTTAATGACCCTATATCAGAAGCCATGCTAGCTTTTGTGGCTAGCTGTTTATATTATGGGTTGCTATAGGGCTGTGTATATCATGTTTTGTGTGTCATTTAGTATTAGGCACTAACTCAATTTGGGAAGTGTTATTGGCACTCCAAAAATCTCATTCTACACTCCTTACAAGTGTATTTTTCTTTCTTAATATAGAAAGTTTGGAGTGTAGAATGAGATTTTTGGAGTGCTAATAACAATTCCCCTCAATTTTTGTTAAGTCATTTTATGTTTTGATACAGCTTGAAACTCAAAATTTTAGACATGGACTTAGTTGTCTCCAAGCCAAGTTCATTACTCATTATTCATTATTCAATACATCTTTCATGTGAAAATTGCACTCAATCCATGTGTAAGAAAATCTAGGAAAAAACTCCTGATTCTAGAGAGGTTCATTAAATAGTACCAATCAAAGTACAGAGGAAAAATCTGAAATTTTCCTCATACAATACCAGTTAAATAGTTTCTTGTGTCAAAATCTACTGTTTGATAGCTCAACCTTTTAATCGTTCGTTAACGAGTAGATAAAATTCAGATACACGTTAAGTAATCGCGGTAATATTGTGTTTGGTGGATCATATTATGCTGCTGCATTGCTAGGAAATTATCACCTATAGTGTCCAGTAGTTTCCGTGTGTCTAATAAGCTTCTCTCCCTTTGGAGTGTTTGACTTGCTAGACTTCTGGTTAACTCTTGCTTCCTTATTTATTTATTTTCTAGCCGGCATGCTTTATCACAGCCGACCCCACTTAGAGGGATAGGCTTTGTTGTTGTTTGGCATACTTTATTACATCAGTTGTGTATATATTTGGATGTATATTTATTATACTACGATTTATTTTCTATACTTGTATCATTCACCATTAGTTATGGTTCAGCATTTCATGTGACTAATCTTCATTAAGTATGGACCTTCTTTTGAATTTTGAATTTTTTTTTGGAATTGCGTGCTGTATTTGTGGTTTCCTCGGGCATGCCACCTTTTTTTAGTCCTGTATCATCATGTACATCTTATGAAGTTTAACATTGTTAGTTTTCAAGGAAAATTGGATCATATTAGATGAACACTGGGTGATATGAGATACATTTTGTACCTTTCTACTAAGAATTCATTTTTGGATTTTATTACGCAGCGCCTCTCGACAGCTGTTACAATGGTGGCAAAAGGTGTCCTGAAAGAGCATCTTATCCTCCTGGCAAATAGCATGACATGTGCTGGAAATTTTGTTGGCTTCAATTCTAGTGGATATAAAGCACTATCTCGAGCATTGAATATTCAAGTACCATTTACAGAAGCAACACTTTTTGTGAGTAATTGAACTCTTTTGCCTAATTCTATAAATGACATTTACCTATAGTTCGTGGTTAGATGAACTAGAATCACAACTAATTGTAGTTTCATTACATGTGGCTGTAGACACCAAGAAGGTGCTTTGAGAGAGCAGCTGAAAAGTGCCACATGGATTCTTTGTCAAGCATAGTTGCATCATGTTCATGGGGTAAACATGTTGCTGTTGGTACTGGCTCCAGGTTTGATATCCTCTGGGACACAAGAGAGGTAAATATGATTTTTAACATACTTATAGTTTTTCCCAGTTGTATGGTAGTTTAATCTGCTGCTGGAATGTTCTGTGCCGTTTAATTTAATTATTAATATTTTATCTTTTCAGGGAGGATTGAATCAAGAGGGTGGACTAGATGTTTTCAACTTTCTGCATATGGTGAGCACAGCGAATGGAGAAGAAGCAACTACGGGAGCACTGGGGGCAGAAGTTGATGATCTTATGGTGGTAGATGAATTAGCAGATTCCTGCTTGTCGCCAGAACTTGACTCTGGTTTAGATAAGCCCGTCTTTGAAGATATTATAGAATTTGAGGACAAATCAGAAGCTCTTCCTGGAAAGTCAAGTTGGGAAAAGGATTCCTCTGTATGGGGGACAAATACTGCACGAGAAGATGCCACATCATCGTGGGAGAAGACTCCATCGTGGGATAAAATACATCATCGTGGGATAAAACTCCAGCCAAAGAACCTGCCACATCTACATGGGGGATAGGCAAGGCAGCAGAAGTTACTACTCCTGCATGGAGGGCAAATACCGCAATAGAAGCTGCCACATCTGCCTGGGGGGCAACTAAGGCAAGTGAAAATGATTGGAGTGGTAGAGTGGCAGAGAAAGTGGCACCAATGGACCTCCAGCCGACAATAAAAGCCGTAGATGAAAGGGACAATGGATGGGGTGCCGTTTCTCCTAGGGAAACAGTAACAGGGAATGACAATGCTTGGTCTAGTGGGCAACAGAAAAAGTCTTCTGAAATTTCGACCAGTTCTTGGGGGCAGAAAAATCCTCCTGAGACAGAAACTCAACCTTGGGGTGCTGTTTCTTCTGGGGAAACAGAAACAGGGAATGACAATGCTTGGTCTAGTGGGCAACAGAAAAAATCGGGGCCGAACAATTCTTGGTCTAGTGGGCAACAGAAAAAGTCTTCTGAAATTTCGACCAGTTCTTGGGGGCAGAAAAATCCTCCTAAGACAGAAACTCAACCTTGGGGTGCTGTTTCTTCCGGGGAAACAGAAACAGGGAATGACAATGCTTGGTCTAGTGGGCAACAGAAAAAGTCTTCTGAAATTTCGACCAGTTCTTGGGGGCAGAAAAATCCTCCTAAGACAGACACTCAACCTTGGGGTGCTGTTTCTTCCGGGGAAACAGAAACAGGGAATGACAATGCTTGGTCTAGTGGGCAACAGAAAAAGTCTTCTGAAATTTCGATCAGTTCTTGGGGGCAGAAAAATCCTCCTAAGACAGAAACTCAACCTTGGGGTGCTGTTTCTTCCGGGGAAACAGAAACAGGGAATGACAATGCTTGGTCTAGTGGGCAACAGAAAAAGTCTTCTGAAATTTCGACCAGTTCTTGGGGGCAGAAAAATCCTCTTGAGACAGAAACTCAACCTTGGGGTGCTGTTTCTTCTGGGGAAACAGAAACAGGGAATGACAATGCTTGGTCTAGTGGGCAACAGAAAAAATCTTCTGAAATTTCTACCGGTTCTTGGGGGCAGAAAAATCCTCCTGAGACAGAAACTCAATCTGCGAGCTTGTCTGGGTGGGATTCACCTGGTGGAGATGGTAATACTGGTGAAAGACATCACCAATGGGGGCAGAACAAGAAAAGTCGTTTTGAAGGTTCAAAGAGTTGGGTTTCTAGTCCTGGGGAGTGGAAGAATAAGAACCGTCCTGCCAAACCACCTGGTATGGTGAATGATAACTCTAGTGTGGTTGGACTCTATACTGCAACAAGACAAAGATTGGATATGTTCCCTAGCGAGGAGCAAGATGTTCTTTCTAAAATTGAACCCGTTATGCGCTCTATCCGAAGAATAATGCATCAATCTGGGTTAGTTTTCTGTTTATATTCTTTCTTAACAAGTAGGACTAGACTGATCGAATTATCTAAATTATATGATACATTTCAAATTATCTGGGTTAGTTTTCTGTTTATATTCTTTCTTAACAATTTTGACTTTGAGATGTCTTGTCTGAAGTAAGAATCAATTTAAATCCAGGGAATTTCTTGACGAAATCCTCCCTCACAGTCGAAAATAGTGCTTTAACATTTGAAGTATCATACTTGCATGTAGTGCAACGGTGTTGTTTCATATTCACCTGTCAAAGAGCCTGAGTCTAAGAACAAAGTCCCTCCCAAAATGTCATCGTAGCACATAGTTGGTTTTCAAACTCTTGGGGCTCCAAGTTTAAAGATAAAGTTTGGAGGTTGTGGACTATTTATGAGATACGGGTTGGGTTTTGGCACCTCTCTGTGGACTTTGGTCTCATTCGTGTATCATGGTTGCCGTTGCCCATTCTTTTCAATTTCTACTAGAAAGCCGCTATGTCGTAGTTTTCCTGATTGTAGTGTGGGTGGTTTTGGTTCTGTTTTCTGCATTGTATCTTGGTTATTGCAGGTTGTGGGCAGCATATTTGTGGACTGCTGGTCCACTTTGATTGTACTTCCCATTCATATTAGTTACCATTTGTTTTCTTTTGATGTATGAAGTCTAAAGTCTATCATTATATAAAAAATAAGCGTAAGAACTATAAAGGAAAGGCATCTGATAACTTAATGAATTCACGTGTTACATTTGACTTTCCTTTTGGGATGTCTCAAGGATATCATATTTTCACTGATCTCCATACGAAGGAATTGATTTCATTCTGGGGCATTATAGCCGCTTTGCATATGTTATTGGTGCCTAATTTTGCAACCGTTTGATTTTCTTTTCTTTCTTTCTTTCCTTTTTGGAATGTTTTAGTTGTTGCAACATCTTTGCTTGGTGCTTGACAATCCTCTAACCTACTATCGGTTTTTAAATTATTCTATCCAGGTACAATGATGGGGATCCACTGTCAGCTGACGACCAGTCATTTATACTTGATAATGTTCTCAATTACCACCCGGATAAAGCTGTTAAAATGGGTTCTGGAATTGGTCATCTCACAGTACGTTTATCTGCCCTGTTCTTGCTTAACTGCGTTTTAATTAGATTTATGTTTCAGTGCACTTTTGATACATTATGCTTGGAATCTGTGACTGATTGCATTGTTATATTGGTTATTATAATGTTCATATTATTTTTTACTGAACTATAACGTTTATACTGAATTTTGTACATTGTCCATTGAGGTAAACTTCCATGTGTTCTGTTGCATGCCTAAATTTGTTCTGCTTCTCAAAACCCTTTTTTATGTCAATAATTAATTTTTAGCAAAGGGCTGTTACACATAGGAAGATGACTAGACGGGGTTTAGTCGGAAAACCATTTTTTTTTCTCTACTGGTTTAGCTATTCACTCATGGCTCCACCCTGCCAAGGCTGGTTGAGCAGATCTAATCTTTCAGATAAGAAGACATTAGAGGAGTATATACTTGTCTTTAAATACGAATTAAGACTATCCTCCGTCTCAAGGGTTTTTAAGTCTGGACTAGTAATGACGGGGAAAGGGTTTTCTTTCATAGTACTTGGAAACATAGCCAGGATGGAATACCTCATCTTATTTACCTTTTCTCACGAACTACTTGTCTTGTAATAACAAACCCTGTATTGCTTATGTTGTGTTCTTATCGAAAACCAAAAGAAACACAAGTTTCCGAAGCTTTGTTGTTTACGAATGAATTTGGTTTGTGTGTTAATGGACTTATTTGGTCTCATATTATCCTAATTTACACCGGCCATTGATGACAGGTTGATAGGCACGGCAGTTTCCAGGACAGCAGATGCTTTTTTGTTGTGACGACAGATGGTCACAAGGAAGATTTTTCATATCGAAAATGCCTGGAGAATTACATTAAGGAAAAGTATGCTGATGTTGCCGAAACATTCATAGGCAAGTATTTTACTAGGAGAGGAGGGAATCGGGAGCGAAACCCCACTCCAAGTCAATATCCCATTCCAGAACAGACTCCATGTCAAACTCCCATTGCAGAGCAAACTATAAGCCAAACTCTCATTGCAGAGCAAACTATAAGTCAAACCCCCGTTTCAGAGCAAACTGGGAACGAGGAGACACAATAGGGCATGGCTGTTTCCGGGGCATCGGTCGTTTTGAGATTCTGATGTAATTAGATTTGAACATTCTGCCCCTCTGCTTTTTGATTTGTATATACTAGGCAGTCGTTAGCAGCGTTTCGTTCGTTGATTTATGTTTAATCTGAGAGCATTGATTAGTTAACCAGTTGGTAGCTGCTGGATGCAGTTAACGTGAACCCTGAATTGGGAGAAAAGCAAGCTGCTTGCTTATGTTGCAGTTGCAAAAAAAATCAAGTTTATATATGAAATGCATAAGTATTGTCGATGGCCTTCGATGGCTTCTATTGCTCAGCTTATTATACTTCTGGTTTGGAATTTTTATTTATTTAATGTTCCGTATTTTTTCTGGTTTAGTGCTTATGATTATGATTATGGATGTAAACAAACCAAATCAATTTGCTCAAGCTTCGACGTACCAAACACGAGCCCAACCCGATACAAGCTCGAGCTGTTTTGAGCCGACTTGCAGCCTTACTTGTGATGTAGGATTAATGCTTACAACCGGGCCATGATGAATATCTGCAAATGGAAATGAACATGTGGAATTGATGGATATTGGTCTCTCTCTCTATCTAAAAATCCCGGAGTATGAGTACTCCGGAGCACCATAGAACTTTTGTTCTAATAATGTGATAATGAATGTGTATTTATCATTCATACGGCTAACTTAATGAAATTGATATCCTAAAGCATTTAATTTTCAAAGTTTCATACATATATTATTCGTACAAAAATTAGACCAATAAGAGATTATTGAGACATAAAAAATTGATCATAAAAATATATGAACTCATTTTGCTCAAAATCGTTGAGTTTTTTTTTTTTTTTTTTTTTCAAGAAACAAAATCATTGAGTTTGACCTTAGGAAAATAGACACTTCAAATATGTATGGTGAGGAGCGGTGTAATTGGGATTCCTCTTAATAGTTTGGTTTTTGTCCAATAATGTGTAAATTGAACCAAATCAAACCAAACTCGGACTACATTTTATTTGATTTGTTTTGTTTTATTTGAAAATCGCTTAAACGAGAACCACCTACTTGGTTTTACATTTTTGCATTTCCCCCTTATTTGTTATCACAATTTTAGTTCAACCCTTAATACCAAAAAGATTAAAATCCGAAACTCATTTGAATTTGATGTAGTTTATCAAAAAAATTCCGAGTCTTAGTCTATTACTTTTTGAATTTACATTATGAAATTCCTTTTTATATATATTTGAGGTAATATAACAATATTTTCTCAATGGCTTACAAAGAGAAAAATGATAACCTCCTCTTATACAACCTTGTTTAATCATGTCTATTATTTTCATTTTAAGATAGCGTATTTGATACAATCTAAAAAATTACTTTCCCAACACAATTAATATGATTAGGGTTAAATAACTGACATGGAAACAAGTCAAAGTACTCAAAATTAAATTTATAATGCTTAATAAAAAACAGAAAAGCTACAAATATTTAGTAAAAAAAACTAAGAGAATAGAGCGGCAAACTCTAATTATTTCCTGTTTTAATTCATTCAATTTGATAGCTAAATTAAAAAAAGAGTGTGTATAAGAAAAAAAAAATGGTTTAGCTTCCTTTACTAAACTTAGTTTTTTTCTTTCAACAAACGATATTTTCTATATTAAAAAAAGGGAGATAAATTTAACCTTACAATAAACTAACAGTAATGTTATTCAAACTCATTTTTGATAAAAATCAAATCTGAAACCAACAAGTAAAAAGAAGTAACACTAGACGATAGCACTAATTAGCCCACATACTTGAGTGTTAAACGTAGATTACAAATTATAATGCTTTCAAAACGAACCAAACCAAACCGGCTAATCGGGCCACCGCTACCTGGCACGATCTAATTGAAAGAGAAACGTGCAAGGTTATCCAATTATCCATTATTTTATTTTAACTTTTTGTGAGGGAAATAGCCAAATACAATAATCTAATACCAAGTCACCATTTTCATGATGTTTTACTGCTTCATGAGCTCCACCTCCACTCCACTCCACTCCACTCCAGTCTGATTGATCCAAATATCTGAGCTTCGGCCATGGCTTCTTCTTTGCCGGTCAACTCGTTTCCCTGTTAGAGAATGGGCAGCATCATGTGTGGGAGGACCAATCGATCATCAAGTGGCAGAAGAGAGACGCCCATGTCCCTTTACGCTGCCATGAATCAGTTGAAGGTAAACCACTCATGGCATTTCAATTTCAGTTTCTTATTGCTTTGATTTTTTGATTTTCTAAATTGATATGTTGAATTTGGTTTTCGTAAATTTTAGTTCTAGGTTGACTGATGGAATTGTTTTTTGCTGGGGTTGACTGATGAATGGTCGAAATATAATTCTTTGATTCAGATTCACATTGCATTTTGGATGTTGTAACGTTCGAATGCATTTCGCTAAATTGTTTACCTGTGAATTTGAGGTTCTACACGCAATACATATCGTAAATGATGATGATTTAGTGATTTCATGTAGAATCACACAGCTTTGAGTATTTGTAATACGTATGTATATGCAAGCTCATCAGTTGGGTTAACATATTTGGACTAAGATTTTTGTTGAAGTTTTGATACATAAGGTTTTCAGTGTAAATGCTTTTTCTCAAATATCTAGAGTGAATAGTTGTTGGAGCATGGTTGTGATGCAGATTTGTATTATTGTACATCTCTCATAAACTGCATCATGGTTTGGTATATGAGCATGGTGTTGCATATTGCCAATAGTAGGTTGGGGGCACTAGCCGCAGTATGCATGATAGTACACGTAACTGGGTAGGATTAGGAACATGGGAAAGAAAACGCAGAACCTAATTGGTTCAATGTCGGACTGAGAGGTTTGGGTGCTTGATTCAGGAGCACCATCATCTAAGTTCTGATTGTATGGCTTACTTTTAGAAGATATCTGATGTTGTTTATGTTGTGCAGGGTCTCTTAAATATTGGTATGAACGCAACAAAGTGAGTTTTGTGGTCTCCAACTCTGCTGTTTGGAATGATGATGCTGTTGTTGGAGCTCTTGACAGCGCGGCTCTTTGGGTCAAGGGCTTGCCTTTTGTCAAGTCCTTGTCAGGCTATTGGAAATTCTTCTTGGCTTCCAGTCCTAAAAATGTTCCTTAAATTTTTATGACTCTGCATTTCATGATATACAGTGGGAAACTTTGCCTGGTAGGCATATATGATCTTTCACTTTTTCTTCTTTATATTTATATGGTGTGTTGTGTTGGAGTGTATAAGTGATAGTTGGCTCGCATCCAATCAAGTTCTGGGGAGTAATGGCAAACCATGAAAATTTGTCAAGATATATGTATATCTGTAACTACCCAGAATTTAAGGACCTACCTCTTAGGGAGAGGGTTAGGATCACGCCCATGATTCCATATTTATCTTTTCATCTTCATTTTTAAAAGAATAGGAAATTTAATAGTATTTTTATATTCTTAGTTGTTTATATCCTTATTCCTGTTTATGTTGTTCACCGATCATGATTGCTCCATGTCTAGGAAATGCAATTTTCATCCGACTCATAACTTTTTTTTCTCTAATGGAACAGTTCCTTCAAATTGGCAGATGCATGGATTTGATCGGCCTATTTATACAAACGTTGTGTATCCATTTCCACTGGATCCACCTTTTGTTCATGTGGAGAATCCTACTGGCTGTTATAGGACATACTTTGACATTCCTAAAGAATGGAATGGTATGATCAATTTGAATGCATTACTGATAGTGATTAGTGATGCTTTTGAATTCTTTTATTTTTGTTCTTTGTTTCCCTCTGTTTTTGGTTTCCTGATCTGTATTAAATCAAACCTGTCCTGTGCTATAACTTGTATGCTTCGAAATAGTCTTATTTTCAACTTTGGTAATATTTTAAAAGTAACCATTGTAAATGTAATTGTATGACATATTGACATGTGACTAGCATTTGACAGGCCGCAGGATTTTTTTGCACTTTGAAGCTGTTGATTCTGCTTTCTGTGCGTGGGTGAATGGGGTCCCAATAGGATATAGGTAATTATTTAATGGCTTTTTAATCAGTTAGCAATAAGTGCATTTGTTGATCTTGTAGATTGTAGCACTCAGAGCATAGCAATGTCAAAATGAAGATCATTTTGTGCTTATAAGGGATGCATGGTTAGGTAGGAATCTATATCAGATACATTAACAAGCTTTATTTCGTGCTAGGTCAGTCAGGACAGCAGACTTCCTGCTGAATTTGAAATCACCGATTATTGTTACCCATTCAGTACGGACAAGAAAAATGTACTAGCTGTTCAAGTTTTCAGATGGAGTGATGGATCTTACCTTGAAGATCAAGATCATTGGTGGTTATCTGGCATTCATCGTGATGTGCTTCTCCTTTCCAAGCCACAGGTTCTATAATCTTCTTGCATTTGTGTTCTTTTCTTTTAAATACCAATATACTGTGTGATTGGCTTTTCTTGGAGCTATTACATAGCGGGAGACTGGGGACAATCATGTATGCATTGATGATTTGCATGGCTGCTTCTCTACAATAAGATCATTCCATCTCTTCTATTTGCATGTCAGTGTGCGCATGCTTATTGATGAAATTGAGGTTCCACCATAAAACCAATTGGCAATATGGGGAGTAGCCCAAGACCATATAAGCACATAGCAAATCTTGTCTCTCACCGATGTGGGACAACTCTTAACACGCCCCTGCACGTGTGGTGTAGTTTCAAGCCTACACGTGGACAACAAGTGGGGTGACGTGGAGTGCGTGTGGCCCTTTTTGGCTTCACATGAGGACAACCCGCTCTGATACCATGATGAAATTGGGGTTCCACCATAAAACCAATTGGCAATATGGGGAGTAGCCCAAGACCGTATAAGCACATAGAAAATCTTGTCTCTCATCGACGTGGGACAACTCTTAACAGTCATGATCTAGTTCATTAATTTGCTAACACATATTTTACTTTGATTACACATATAGGATTATCTCAACTATTTCCTCATTAATTTGAGTAATGCAAACTGCTATTTTCTGCTAACATAAGTTAGAGCATTGCATAACATTATATCCTAAAGTATAACTGATGTGCAGGTATTCATCGCAGACTATTTTTTCAAATCAACTCTGGCTGAGGATTTTTCTTATGCAGACATACAGGCAAGTATCTACTAATCGAGGAAGGATGTCTTTGTTTTTAATGAGTAATAAAAACAAACAATGTTTTATAGTGTTGTCTGGATGAACCTCTTGCACATTGCTGGACAATATTTTGTAACCCATTGACGTTTCTTGTTGATTATATTATTCTCACTTTTTACTTTGATTATCATAATATCTGTTAAGTTTACACTGTAACTGATTTATCCGTCAGCCTCTTGGAATATACCCTTTATCAATATGATGAGATTATGTTCTCTTCATACTGCTATTTAACTACATGGAGAAAATTTTAATTCTTTATTTATTTATTTTCTTTTTGCATTTTTTACCAGGTTGAAGTGAAAATAGATAACTCCATAGAAACATCTAAAGATAGTATTCTTCCCAACTACACAATAGAAGCTTCATTATTTGACACGGCTAGCTGGTACAGTACTGATGGATATGCTGATCTGGCCTCATCTAATGTGGCTAGTTTAAAGCTTAATCCCTCACCCAGCACAAGCCTTGGATTTCATGGTTATTGGCTGGAAGGGAGACTGGAAATGCCGAGGCTTTGGTCTGCCGAGCAAGTAAGGACACTTCATTTGTTCTTTCATTTTGTTTCTTCCTGTCTTGTTCTTAAGCTAAAGGCAGACCATTTTAAGTTATATATACCTTTTTACTTACTAGTATTCATTGAGTGATGATTTCCAAAAATGTCTGCCAAGTGCTAGAGGTACCCGGGCACTGTGAATATTTTAACCTAACGTGTAGTATTTGTGTGTGCTGCACCTTTTTGTTTTATAACTAACTTTGCTTTCTTGTTCGAGATATGTTGGAAGAAATGTCTTGTTGAATTATAACAGCTTACAGGATAAGTAGATTTTTCTTTTTCACATGACAACAGAGTTTGTGAATACTAGAGATTACAACTTTCTCCCTTACTCAGCACGCCTCAACTAAACATGAGTTAGGATTAAGGGTTATTCAAGTTGTTTGAGAATATGGCATTGATTCTTTCCTACATGTTAGTCAAGTTCTCATTTGACTTAAGCATAAAGCAGATAGATCACTTGAGCACAGTAGTATACACCCCTGACTGGGGATGCTCTAAGAGAGTTCTTAATAGGGCAGGACGATAGAGCAGATCACAATTAATATATACTATACATTGGCCATAGATGAGTTTGTAGCAAAGTTTGTCTTTCTTAATTCCATTGCCTTTAAGAACCTCTAATGCTTTCAGTGATGCTGTACTGAATATTAAACAATTTGAATCTGTGGTTCAATTTTAGTTGCTGTCATTCCACTTCTCTTTTATGCTAGAAAGAAAGTATATGAATCAGATTTGAGACAGTAAAGGGAATAAAGCTTGTCGACTGTCTATTTATGTTTCACAGATGATTTGATGATCTTGTGTTATAGTATTTGCTTTTGAACGCTTTTGACTTCTATCCTCTCTCTCTCTCTCTCTCTCTATATATATATATATATATATATATATATATGTATGTATGTATTGCATCCAAGTGTCTCAACTGATTGTTTACCATCCACAGCCAAATCTGTACACACTTGCTGTTATATTGAAAGATGCATCTGGTAACCTCGTGGACTGTGAATCATGCCTCGTAGGCATACGACAAGTATCAAAAGCCCCCAAACAGCTGCTTGTTAATGGGCGTCCAATAATAATAAGGGGTGTAAACAGGCATGAGCATCATCCACGACTGGGAAAAACAAACATAGAATCCTGCATGGTTAAGGTGACACATATTTTAGTTCCCTTCGTTTATTCTCTGCTTGCCTACTTGATCGCCAACTTGAGGGGGTGGTTCTGTTTATTACGTTCATGAAGTTTTCATCTCTGTTTTGTGTACAGGATTTGATTTTAATGAAGCAATATAATTTCAATGCTGTGAGAAACAGTCATTATCCCCAACATCCCCGTTGGTATGAGCTTTGTGATTTGTTTGGCATGTACATGATAGATGAAGCCAACATCGAGACCCATGGTTTTGATTATTCTGGGCATGTGAAGCATCCTACATTAGAACCAAGCTGGGCTACTGCAATGATAGACCGTGTGATAGGCATGGTTGAGAGAGACAAAAATCATGCTTGCATTTTCTCCTGGTCCCTAGGAAATGAAGCGGGATATGGACCTAATCATTCTGCTTCAGCCGGTAACCATTTTCCTTAAACATCCTTATTTTGGTCGAGCTCCAAAGGAACTTATATAGGGAATGTCATACTTGTTCAAGAATTATATGTTTTGAATTAGCTGGTAACTTAAATTTTTTGGGTAAACTTCTTAAATCCACAATACGATTCCCAAATGATTCTTTCTTCGAAAATAGGCTATTGGGAATCACATTGTGCGTTTAATAGGTTTACCTTGAAATAATGGTGATGAACTTGCGTTCAATAATTTTGTAAATAAGGAAGTAATAGCAATCATTTGGGAAGGGGCTTTACACTAGGGAATATGAATTTTGTCAAAAGACAGAAGCATGCACTCTAATTTTGAATAATTCAGAAAATATTAAAATTCTATTAAAAGTTGGGTAAGCCAATCAAGATCACTTTGTCTATAATTTGGGTTACTTTCCTTGTCTATCTGTACTTTCCTATCCAATTTTTAAAATGTTAACATTTCCTATTACAAAAAAAGTTTAGATCACGTTTTGTCCATGGAATTTAATTGAAGTTGCTTCCAATGCATCTTTATTTGTCAACCTTTTCCTACCACTCATTGTTTACGATACTTGAATCTTGAATGTAGGCTGGATTCGTGGCAAGGATCCCTCACGGCTGTTACATTACGAAGGGGGTGGATCCAGAACTCCATCCACAGATATTGTATGTCCCATGTATATGCGGGTCTGGGACATTGTGAAGATTGCGAAAGATCCAAATGAAACACGTCCTTTGATATTGTGCGAGTACGTAAAATTACTATTTCTTTTACTATTGTTTGAGATAAGTTGATTTTACCATACTCCCATAGTTAGAACATGAGTCAACTTATATTTATATTTGGCACTTCTCTGTCCTCACATTTGGCGCCTCTTCACTAATAGAGTCCAACATGTGAAATTCAATTATTTAGGGAGGTTGCAATTATGGGGATTTACACTGATGATTGCTTGGTCTAATACTATGATCAAGTTTGTTGCTTTACCACTACTCCGGAAAGCTTTAGCTATTAGATATAGTCCAATAATTGTTCTGTATCAAACATGTTATTTATTCTGAAAAGTTATACAAGATGCCTCGGTTTATGCTCATAGAAATCAAATTTCTTCACTTAAAACCACGATAAAATAATGGCAGGTATTCACATGCAATGGGAAACAGCAGTGGCAATATACATAAATATTGGGAAGCAATTGATAGCACATTTGGTCTCCAAGGAGGCTTTATCTGGGAGTGGGTTGATCAGGTAACGTATCCTTGGTATAAGAAATATACTGATGATCATCAACATTATGTTAAATATTGGATTCCATCAGGGGATAATAGATTTTTATCATTGTATACAGGGCCTATTGAAGGAAGGTGCAGATGGTAGTAAGCATTGGGCTTATGGGGGTGACTTCGGAGATGTTCCTAATGATCTAAACTTCTGTTTGAATGGCCTTGTATGGCCAGATCGAACTCCTCATCCTGCAATGCATGGTAAGCTGATAATTTACGATAAACGTACAAATACCATTGTCCTCAAAGTTCTTTAAGATAACATTTGTTCGTCATTTATCTATTAAATCATTGCTTGCTGCTTTGATTATTATCTTCAGAAGTCAAGTATGTGTACCAACCAATCAAGGTTTCATTCAGGGAAGAAGCAGTAAAGGTACTTTTCACATATTTGTGTTTGCTTTATTCTTTTTCTTTCTTTTTATTAAATGTTTCTGTAACCGATATCACCTCGCAGATAACAAATACTCACTTTTATGAAACAACACAAGGATTGGAGTTCAGCTGGTCTGCTCATGGGGATGGATATAAACTTGGATCTGGAATTCTGCCTCTTCCTTTGATTGAACCTCAGAAGAGTTTTTCTATTGAGTGGAAGTCAGCTCCATGGTATCCTCTATGGACTTCATCATTTGCGGAGGAATATTTTTTGACAATAACTGCTAAGCTCTTGCATTCCACAAAGTGGGTTAAAGCTGGTCATGTCATCTCATCTACACAAGTCCAGTTGCCTTCCAAGAGAGAAATTGTTCCTCATGTAATTGTTTTTTTCTTAATACCTATTTAGGCGATAAGAATGAATCTTACAGCTTTTGTCATATAAAACAATTTTTACAACTGGCCTTGCTTTCCAGGTCATCAAGACTAAGGAAGCTACATTTATCAGTGAAATTCTTGGGGATACAATTAAAGTGAGTCGGCAGAACCTTTGGGAGATAATATTGAATGTTAAAACGGGAGCAGTTGAAAGCTGGAAGGTATTCTCACCTTTTTCTATTTTCTTGTTGATAACACGTTTTATTTTTTATTTACAAAAATTGTTTGATAACAATTTCATCCATCCCTCCAAGAAGTCTTCAGTGTTTGGATAATACATTATATACTATGTTGTCACGTTCCTGTTTCCGATAAACCAGCATCCATTCTTACCATACTGAGACTATTTCTATTTGGAACTTAATTATATGAAGTACATATGGTTTCCATGTGAACGGGTGGGACTCTATCACGGGTCAGAAATGGAAATCCATCTGTTACGGCCTTTTCATGTTATCCTCTATTCTGTTACATGGTGAGACTAGAGTGTCATTTCGGGGAGGATATCTGGGATGGGGAATCCTGTTTTAGTGCAATTTTTCCTCGTCTCCATAGGAATTCTTGGTTTAATAATGCTTCTATTGCTTGCATCTTTGTTCCCTTCTTTGTCCCCACTGTTGATTTTCAAATTGCATAGGATTCCTCCCTCCTATTCTTGATTGAGAACATTTCATTATCACATTTAGACTTGTAAAGAAGGCTTAGGTGTCTAGTGCAAGTTTTTTTTAGAATACATTAATAATGGATCATTCCATTACCATCTCTATTTTCCACCTGTCTCTAGTGATTTGGGATCTGTTTTTTCTTAGTTTCCTGACTGCTCCTTCTTTCTTGTAAACTTGGACTGAAGCTGCTGCATCTTAGGGTTTATATTGCATTTGCCTAGTTACTGTTCTGTTTGTTAGGATAACTGTATTACTTTATTTGTTTTCTCTGCTAAGGATGTTCTGTCTCGTGTAGATAGAGGGTTGTAAACTTTTCTTATGTTGGGGCTCTTAGATTGTAGATCTCAATTTGCGCTAACACTCATTCTGAATCCTATTTTTTAAAACAAAAAAATGGTAGGTTGAAGGAGTTTCTTTGATGACGAAAGGCATATTTCCATGTTTCTGGCGAGCACCCACAGATAATGACAAAGGAGGAGGTGACAGTAGTTATTTCTCCTTGTGGAAAACTGCTCGTATTGATAGCCTCAATTATATCACCAAAAGCTGTTCTATACAAACTAAGACTGACCATCTTGTGAGAGTAGCTGCGGTTTTTCTTGGTGTTCCCAAAAGTGAGGAGGGTTCTTTATCCAAGGAGGAAAGCGCATTAATTGAGATTGATGTGATTTACACAATTTACGGTTCAGGAGATGTTGTCGTTGAATGCAATACAAGACCAAGTTCGAACCTTCCACCTCTGCCGCGTGTTGGAGTTGAGTTCCATTTGGATAAGTCAATGGACCAGATTAAATGGTATGGAAGAGGACCGTTTGAATGCTATCCGGACAGAAAAGCAGCTGCTCATGTTGCAGTCTACGAGCAGAATGTGGGCGATATGCATGTCCCTTACATAGTTCCTGGGGAATGTTCAGGTAGGGCAGATGTTAGATGGGTGACATTTCAAAACAAGGATGGTTTTGGAATCTATGCTTCAATATATGGCAGCTCTCCACCTATGCAAATAAATGCAAGTTATTACACCACAGCTGAGCTTGACCGTGCAACGCACAATCACGACCTTGTCAAAGGAGATGACATTGAGGTAATTTCTTCTGCGTTTTTAGTTAGTACCTCTCATTTCAGTACAAGTCGATTTGTCTCAGATGTCCATTGTATTTAATACGAGTATATACAAAGAATGGTTTACGGTTTAGGGTGCTTACAGTTTGTGGTGTTACAGGTTCATCTTGATCACAAGCACATGGGCCTGGCTGGGGATGATAGTTGGTCCCCCTGCGTCCACGACGAGTATCTGATTCCTGCTGTTCCGTATTCATTCTCAATCAGGCTGTGCCCAATAACTCCAGCAACCTCTGGCCTCGACGTCTATAAATCTCAACTTCAATACTAAAAGTACCGAATGCTTGACAATCTACGTACATGGCTATGAAATAAAGATGTTTTCCTTCTCTATGTTAGCTTGTTGGAGAATATAAAGGAAAACTTGGATTGTAATGTGCTGATCATGTTCGTTATACAACCTTTGTTTGATGTTTGATAAAGTACTCGTTCTTTGGCTAGCATATTTACTGATGACATCTCTCAGAAAAGGACTCGCCATTTCTCAAGTCGAAAATCTTACTCTCGCTAGGTATCAAAACGCGCCTTGCCGGCTTACGACTATGAAACGCGAGCTTCGGTTGTCCATGGGTGCTTCCGTTGCAATTGATTGAAGGCCATGGTGACTAAACCTAGATAGACTGCGGAAAAATGATAAGAAATTGAACTACATAATTTTACCAAGTCTAATGCAGGAACAACCAAAACCAAGATAATGCAACTCTTGGGATCCGTTTGTTACACCGTGTAAAGTGTGACTACCTTGGCTAAGACCAATAACCCATGTTTGGTGAAGGCCGGGACTAGTTTAAATGAGACTCGGTCAGACCAACAGCGGCCCTGCGCCTTGCTAAGTGGAGTTATCTAGTCCCACCTGTGAGCTCGGTATTAAGCGGGATTAGACGTTGATCGGTGTGGGAGAATGAGCATAGGGTGTGCGTGATAGCCCCATCAACCCAACTAAAACATCTTTTTTTTTTTTTTTTTTTTTTTTTTTTTTTTTTTTTAATAGGAACATACGGTATTATCTGTACTATGGGGAGAGGAGTGGGCTAAACCTCACACTGGGCTAGCAATAATGTGGTTCATATTTTTATTTGACGAGAATTGAACCTAAAACTTCTCACTGTGAAGAGAAATACTACTAGACCCGTACTAAGTGACTGGCCAACTAAAACATCTAATTACATGTATACCTTCAAAATTCAGCTCACCCGGGTTTTGAATGCTAGATCTGTCCCCAGTGTGGGAGATGAGTAGAGAATGAATCTAACTAGGGCAGCACCGCATCTACAATCCCTTGAGATGATTTCTCTTTAAAATTGCCTCTAAATCATGATTTCGTTTAAATTTATAACCAATTAAATTGAAATAGGTTGAATTTCGGGTCTTAACGAGTGTCTATTGTGCAATTACTGAATGCTAAGCCCCGGGAGTCATTATCTAACCTGCCAATAAACAAAACAGTTTGAAATTTGAAAAATAAAATATTATATTAAATTTTTTTTTTTCAAGTTACCGTTGTAGAAAAAAGCGCGTACATTGTTTTTTGGGTGAAAGAGGGAAAGCGCGCATTATACTGTATACATCAATTGCTCTCGTCGGTCTTCTTCCACGTTCTTACGCTTGCAATCTTCCACTCCGTCGATTCCCTTTCCTTGTGCTATCTACAAACGACGTCGTCGTCTTCGATTCCGGCCCCTGGTTCTGGCTTCTCTTGCCTTCGCCGTGGCTGCCCATTCCGTGCCGTGAGAGACGGCTGGCGATTTCATCAAAACCCACCACCACTGTCGGCGATCAAAGATACGTTCTAAATTTTGGATTCTTTTATTCTAAGTTTTTGGATTTCGTTTTTTGTTTGTTATACTTCAATTATATAATTTTGCGATTGCTTTTAGGGTTTGGTTGGATTTTCCTAGTTGATTTGGGATTTCCTGTTATTCCTAGTAGAATTAGGTTTCCTATCAGAATTGGGATTTGATTGTTACGATATATACTGCTCACATTTTTGGAAAGTAAAATTGCTGCCTAGTGCTTTCTCTTTCTGTCACCCAAAACAGATTACTGAGTAAACTACAACTGCGAGATTTCAATTTCGGTTTCGGTTTCGGTTTCGATTTCAGATATGTTATCTGTTAGGACATCCCCGTCTTCGTCTGGATCTGTGTTTGACTGTAAACTTAATGGAGGAGCAATTGATCGGAAAGATGAGGGACCCAATTATGATTGCCGTAGAAAACGCTATTTTGATGGTAGTCAAAAAGGGCCAGGGCTAGGGTTAGGGTTTGACACTGCCACTTGTGCTGCACCTGCATGTCATAATAACCGCAGTAATGGAGGACTTGAACATCAGAGACCTAGGGCTTTCGTTGACGGCGCATATGGAAAAGACGGTAGTAGGGTTGCTCAATTGCAATCTGGGGCAAATCGTAATTTGGGTTCTGACTACCCTCCTCAGCAAGCCTGCCAGATTATGCCTTTCCAGATGCCCTTTGTGGTGACTCATATATCAGTGCCGTCTTCTACTTCTAGTGTGGACTCTCAATCTCTCATGCTGGTGCCATCTGTGGATTCAAGGCCTCATGTAAACGTGCATAATTCTCACCCTCCCGCTCCCACTGTGCACTCAATGTTATCTATGCAGCAGAATCAGAGAAATCAAGGCCCTTTTATTGTAAAACAAGCCATGCCACTTCTACCACCAGGTCCCCCTCCTTCCCCACAAGACATATTTTTGGTTCAGAACCCTTATCCAGTTGCCACTAGCAACCAGCCCAGCATCAGTGCATATTCTGGTTTGATTACTTCTCTCTTGGCCCAAGGTTTGATCTCAGTGACAAATCAAACCCCGCCCAAGGTTTCTTTAGGAGTTGAGTTTAAGGCCGACCTTCTCAAGGTGCGTCATGAATCTGTAATAACTGCTCTATACGGTGATCTTCCAGGACAATGCACAACCTGTGGCCGTAGGTTTAAGTGCCAAGAAGAGCATAGTAAGCATATGGATTGGCATGTAACCAAGAACCGTATGTCTAAAAACCGTAAGCTGAAGCTCTCTCGTAATTGGTTTGTGAATATGAGCTTGTGGTTTATTGCTGCAGAGGCATTGTGTACTAATGCAGCTCCTAAATTTATGTCTACTGAGACCACTGTGGAAAAGAAGAATAGTGATGAAGAAGTGGCTGTTCCTGCTGAAGAAGATCAGACTTCGTGCGTGTTATGTAGAGAGTGCTTTGATGATTTTTATAGTCATGAGAGAGAGGAATGGATGTATAAAGATGCTGTGTACTTGAATGCACCTGAGGGATCAACAGAAGGCATGGATAGGTCAGAGTTGGGTCCTATAGTGCATGCTAAATGCAGGCAAGAGGGTAGTCAAATAAAACGGTTGCGGAGGAGTTAGCATAGTGGTTTCAAGAAGTAGATGAACTAATTCACAGCATCTAGACATATTTGAGAAGATGATTTAGAGTTCGGAGTGTAAGAAAAGATTTAAGGCTTGTTCATAGGCAGAGAGCATATAAGTTGTTCTTATTGATTGTTTTTCATGTACAAACCATGATTCAAGTTTAATAAAGTCGATATATTTTCCCATCTTTTGCTTCTATGCTATTTATTCTCTCTCTCTCTCTCTCTCTCTCTCTCACTCTCATCCGTACTAATCTGTCCTTGCCATCTTTAACTTGAATTGTTTGGCTGATAAGTAACTTCAGCTATTTATAACTTTTGCATCTTCTGGATTTATGTCATTAATCCCAGCCGTCTATTAAAAAATGTTCATTTAAATACAAAATACTAATGGTTGCGATCATTTATGTGCTTGTGGGGTGAGTCTTATTTGAGGAATCTCTCAATTGAAGCTCCTTCGACATTGACATGCACTTACAATTATATCTAAAGAATTTAAGTATCTTTCCAAGCAAACAAGTGATTTCACTTTGAAAACCTTTGGAGGATCAAATGTGTGACAAAAGGACACAAATACTCAAAACTGACTCTCAAACATTGCAATAAACAAACGGTGACAGAATATATTCACCAAATTTCTTTGGCTATGAAGATACAGAGAAGAATCTCATCCGCCAAGAAGAACCTTCCAGTTCAAGAGGTGGCTGCTACCTCACAAATGAACTCCATGAGCTCGATTTGGGGAACTTGGGACTGTTGCTTCAGTACAGGTTTGATTACACGATTTGCTTCGCTTTCTGCATAGGGATGAAGTCTTTTATCCTTGCATACATGGATTGCCCGGCTTTTGTGGTTTGAAAAAGAACCTACTCAAAATATTTGTTTTTGGAAAGGTATGTCTTGAGTGGACATGGAAATGGACAATCTTGGTTCCTATTTCCCTGTAAGTATAAATATAATGACTCTCGTAGATATATTTTATCTCGTAATCATGCGCGTGGCTCACCGTTGTACTTTTTATTTAGTGTTTAACATTGTAATTTTAGATTGGTGCTGTTCTCACAGGTCTCGGATATTAATCTTTAGGTGGTATTAAGACAGCAATGAAAAGGATTCCCCATGGTTGGGATACCGCTTGGATTCCCACAGAAAAACTTTCTTTGAACAAGGCATTGAAGGGGTAGGGAACGCTGAATCATTTGATCCTTGAGATTTCATCTATTTGTTGACATAATTCGTCTTTAGACGGCTACTTAGGCTATTCGCGTTCTTCGTTCCTGGTGTCCCAGTCCAAAGACACTAAGAATGCATCAAGTTAGCCGACTGCTGATTAACGCTGTTTCCAGGTCATCAAGACTAAGGAAGCTACATTCATCAGTGAAATTCTTGGGGATACAATTAAAGTGAGTCGGCAGAACCTTTGGGAGATAATATTGAATGTTAAAACGGGAGCAGTTGAAAGCTGGAAGGTATTCTCACCTTTTTCTATTTTCTTGGTGATAACACATTTTATTTTTTATTTACAAAATTTTTTTGATAACGATTTCATCCATCCCTCCAAGAAGTCTTCAGTGTTTGGATAATACATTATATACTATGTTGTCACGTTCCTGTTTCCGATAAACCAGCATCTATTCTTACCATACTGAGACTATTTCTATTTGGAACTTAGTTATATGAAGTACATACGGTTTACATGTGAATGGGTGGGACTCTATCACGGGTCAGAAATGGAAATCCATCTGTTACGGCCTTTTCATGTTATCCTCTATTCTGTTACATAGTCAGACTAGACGTGTCATTTCGGGGAAGATATCTGGGATGGGGAATCCTGTTTTAGAGCAATTTTTCCTCGTCTCCATAGGAATTCTTGGTTTAATAATGCTTCTATTGCTTGCATCTTTGTTCGCTTCTTTGTCCCCACCGTAGATTTTCAAATTCCATAGGATTCCTCCCTCCTTTTCTTGATTGAGAACATTTCATTATCACATTTAGACTTGTAAAGAAGGCTTAGGTATCTAGTGCAAGTTTTTTTAGAATACATTAATACATTACCATC